TTGTATGAATTTTGTGCCATCAATTAAGATTTTTAAAATCCTTTTTTAAAAGGGTATAAAAATATTATTAAAGAAATAAAGATTAAGGTTCCAAGAATTTCCTTTGAAATTAAACTTATGCTTACAAGTTCAGATATAATATATCAGTATTTGTGAAACTTGAAAATAAAATTGTACTCATACCCTTAGCAATATCTATGAAGTGAAGGAAAACATTAATATAGAGGATTACTTGTAAATAAAAGAAAACATTAAAATAAAAGAAGGAAACCATTAAATGGAATATTTTTTTAACAAATAATCCTGCATAGTGACAATATATCATCTTCTTATTGCTAATGGAAGTTGAAATTTAGTTATGCATAACATTACCACTTCTTCACTAAAATTTTATCATAATTACATTTTCTTAGAAAAAAGTGTAAAACACGCACGTCCTTTTAATATTTAATTAGCTCTTGTTCATAAAGCTTTTTCTATTAATATTTGAATCTAGGAAATGTTAAAAAGTAGAGATGGTAGAAAAAAAAGCGTAGAAATGAAAAGATGAGTAAATATGTCATATGACAAAGAGTATTTTTGTCATATCAAATTGTATTCTGTGTATCTTTATTATCTGTGTAGTTTCTCCAAAGTTTAAATAAAAAGAAAGATTTTGCTGTGATTAATGTAGTTGGAAATGAAAAATGTTCTCTTTAAATGAAAGCACATTTTTTAGTGTGTATTGAAGCTAAAAATAACTGAAATAGTGTTGATACCATGGAATTCTTTTTTCTTAAAAAAATATTTCTTATGTTAATCTATAAGTAATTTGCACATAAATATTTTTACTGTAAATATTTTTAAAAATGACAGTCCAAATTAAGTAATTTAGTATTTAACAAATAACTTTTAGTATGCAATAATAAATACACTCACAAAAAATTTTAATAACTTTTGCAACATAAAACTTATGTTTTGTGATAAGTATTTTCAACTCTTACACAACTTAAAAAAGACTTCACACTTTGCTTTTAAGTTATGATTCTTTTTGAAAATTGCAATCAAAAGCAAGGTATACTTTTATGAAAAGAAATTGGTTTAATAAGCAATAATACATTGGATCCATAGAAAAATATTTAAGGGTACAGGGGACCTTAAAAACCAACTTTTAGAGTTCTACATTTATGAAACTCACAGTATTTACTTATAATATCTTTAAAAAGCTGTACACAAAATTTCAAGTAATTTGATTAATAATTTTTAAAGTTACTGAACTTTTAAAATTTTAAACTTAATTTTAAAATTGAATTGTCAAAACACTCCACGCGGGTTAAAATTCACTGCAGAATCATACTTTTTTTTATATGACTCGTTTTTGATTTCCAAATAAAAGTTACCATCATTCAGTGGCTAATTATATTGCTCTAGCTCAAAAAACACATTTTTTATGCATTTAATGAAAATTTCAGGAAAAATTTTAAAAATCTTAAACTTTTTTTACTATAAACAAATTTTATCAAAGTTCTAGGTAACAAAACATGGTAAGTTTTGATAAAATACATACATAGTGCACATAAAGCAAGTTTCAACCAAAAAAAAAAATTTAGACTCATGGAGCATTTCGAAAACACAAAAATCCGTCAAAATTTCATTTTGAGAAAATAGCATTTTTCTTAAATGTATTTAAAACGTTTTGATCATGGAACAGTATCTACTCGTGATCATTTTTAAATAGGTCCCTAGACCTTTGTTTTAAAGTTTCAATTTTTTATCAGACAAAACAAAATGTTCTAACAAATTTAAATAGTAATGTACAAACAAATAGCATTATAGTAATTCCAAAGTCACCGAAGGCGAGATATTTCAGACATTAAATGACATTAGATTAGATTTAACAATAATAAAATCTTCTACACAATGAGAAAATTCATGTTCAAAACATTGAGAATATAGTAAAATTTACCGTGATACTGACTCGATAGAAATATTAGAATCTCAATATTTTTTACCGAAGAGCTTTGGTAATGATTCTGGTAAAATTGAAAATAAAATATGGTTTTTTCTATTGAATAAATGGTATTTTTACCATATGCTTGGTAGTTAGGTATCTTTCGTACTTATGTTACCATATCTTAGTAGTTTTGACAATACTTTCTTTCGGTTTGTCTATTGGCAGTGAAATTAGAAGTGATCGAAATTTTTGATGAATTTGAAATAAAAAAAAACAATTTACACCTAATTTTTCGTCTGAAATATAAATTTATTTTAATGTTTACGAAACAGGTATTTATCCCAAGAGGTGGGCAATAACTTGTTATATGTGAGATGCCGATCAATTTACAATCAGACCGATCTGTCTCAGATTTCAACTCATAAGCTGAAAAAACCATTTGACTTCTGATATTTTTCAAAAAAATTTTTTTTTACTTCAGGGAGAGTTTAAATTTGAACCCATTGTTAAAATCTATGCATAACTTTTAATCTAGCACGGTCAGGCATACATTTCGATACGTCCTATCAACTGTATTCTTTTAATGTATTCTGTACTGTATTCTTAGTTTTGATGAATTTTATGATGTTTTTTCCTTCAATGTACTTTTTTTTAATTTTCCAGTTGTATATTTTTATTCATGTCTTATTTTCATAAAGAATTTCATGAATTATTATTTTTCAAAATTTTGCAATATGTATGGCTCTATCTTCGTTGGATAAAACACAAATTTTTGATCCATATATAATTATCGAACTTCTTAGGGTTTCATATATCTGCATTTATATTTTCTGGAAAGTAATTTGCTTTTTAGCAATTCATAATTTACGAACATTGCCTCATCTCCATTTTGCATCAGTTCATTTATACAGTCATAGATTTAAAATTTATGGTTTATTTCGTCACCGAAATAAGGAAAGCTACTTTTAAACGGAACAAATATAGTAAAATTACCGGAGTGTATGATAATGACAATTCTTGTAAAAATCATATTTCCCTTGTTAGAAAATCAAAATATACTGTATTTGAACCATTTATTATTATATTATTCCCTTCATAAGCGAATGGTTTACCAAAAATTCTGGTTTAAAAATTATAGTTTTCATTACGAAATAGTTTGTAAAAAATGCAAAACTGGTAATTTAATTCAACCGAATAAATGGACTTGCTGTACGATATCATGATTAAACTACCAAACTTTACTTCATTTAGAAAATGATATAATATATTACAAAACCATATTTATTGTAAAATTTACCAAATTCTTGACCACAATGCTTCCATAAAGAGTATTGAATTTTTTTGGTAATACCATTGAGCCAGAAACATGGAAAATCGTACCATATTCGGGTAGATTTAGTAATATATTTTTTTCTTAACGTATCCCTAAGAAATTAGTCATAAATTTTTAAATTTTGTAGTTTTCTTCCCTCTTACGATAATGATCTGATCATCAGATGTATATACGTATATCCGTATGCCCTCAATAAAGTTTCTAGAAATAACAAAGTACTGAAATAAATCCATTATATTAGCGCAATGCTTCTGACTTAAGAATAATAATTTCTGATAAATAATTTCATTATTTATGTTGCTTAACTTCATTTCACATAGAAGAAGCCAGATAAAAAAAGCAGCAAAATTAATTAATTTTCGTAAATTAAATTATAGTTTGTGTGTGTTGTCCTTGTGCTTAAGTTTACATACATTATGCTTAATTTCTAGGGCTTGTTTAGAACTTTTCATGATAAATGTTTTTGACATAGAAATTTTTGCTCAAACTTTTGATTTGTAAATGCAAGAACTATAGTTATTTAAAATAAAATAATGCTAGCGTTTCACACTATTTTCGAAATTGTCATAATAGACCATTTCGGCAAATGAAGTATTTTGATTTTTTTTAATTATAAAATAATAATAATACTTTTCTTTCTTACCTTCAATGTAGGCTGGAAAAAAAGTAGGAAATCGTATTCAAAAGAGTATTAATCAGTCATTATGTATTAGTTTAAAACTATTATAGGCAGAACTTTCTTTTCATTTTGAAAATATACAAAACAACGCAGTTAAAATGTGAATCACAAGAAAGCTAATTCGAATGAAGCACTTTTTAGAACATGATTAAATAATTGCTTGTTATTAATGAAAGTGCATTTATTTGTTACATTGCATAAAGCATCGCAATTCAAAGTGATTATTAATGGAATGGATATTATTAAATTTTCTAAATATTTTCTAATTTTATTTGTTTATTTTTTGGTTGAGAAGCCATGTAACAATACAAGATGCACATGTATGTATGCTGCATGGTAATGGGTGTACCATTACCATGTAGCATACATACAACATACATGTGCCATACAATGTACAAACTATCAAGTGTTAAACGCTCTCGTTAAATAAAAAAAAAATTAATCGAAATATTACGGCATTTTTAAAGTTAATTTAGCCAATAATGCTATATTTATCTTCGAATGTTTACTGCGCTATTTCGGTTTAAGCTTCAAAAATAAATTTTGTGTGTTTAGTCAATTATTTGAATTCAATAAAAAGGATAAGTCAATAGACACGCTTTATCTGATTTTTTAAGAACATTTTGCCGAAAACAGACACTAATTAAAAAAGAAGCAAATATTAGTTTATTTATCAGCTATTGAAAAATTTTAATTTGAAAATAAATATTTATGAATAATTTAATTTTCGAAAAATTTATTCTTTAGACTAAATAATTTTCTTTAAAAATATATTTTTTTGATTATTTTTTTTTTTGAAAAATTATGTTTTTAACATTTATACACTGTTTTGCGACTCATCAGTATTTTTATCGAAAGCGTTTCGTTATTTCACTACAGCAGTCTTTTTCAAAAATTACGAAACTATTTCTCTGGAATTTCTTTACAAATGAACTCAAAAACACAAGATATGGATGTGAGTTTTAAAAAATATATCTATAGAGAACACTTACATGAATAACTATTTTCTTAATTAAGTTAATTTAAAAAAAGAAAAAAAAAATAAAGATTCTTACTTTCAACATCTTTAGCTGAAAAAGCAAAATTATTGCTTATAAAAATGGATTAATAGCTCCTGAACCATTTATGAAGAGATTCCTAAATTTAGTCATGGACTAGATGGTGAAATTTTGGCCCCAGGTCTAAATCGTTGAAAAATTCCAATTGCACTGTTCGAAATTCCGTATAAAATTATGATAAAAATCACTCGTACTTATTAAGTACTGATATTTCTTACCGTAAAATCTATTTTTACCGGAACATGCTACGGAGCAAAAATCTGATATACCGTAATTTGTGTTGTAATAGTTACTGCAACGTAACTGAATAGCACTAATTAAACAAAAAAATTATAATATTTGCAAAAAAAATTATAATATCTTACGGGAAAATGAATTTTACTGTTGATGCATTCAAAGAGACGCTACTTTATACCGCAATTTGATCAAGAATTTTTTACAGTTTAGTCCTTTCTTATGAAGAGATAACTATATATTAATAATCTAATAAGATAATATTCTTCCGCATATTATCTATTTTAACTTCAGAATTATCTATTGTTCTGAATTAAATTGTAGGCGATTCAGTTGAAGACTGTATTACATGCTCTTTAATGTTTAATAATTCTTTTACTAGTTCAGTAATCAGCATGGAAGTTTACATGACCGAACTATTATTGAAATTATCCTCAAGCACATGTATATTCGGTGTATAGTTGTGCTTTAAAAACATGTTTTTATAAAACAAAATAGTTTAAAATTATTAGTAGCTAAAATAAAAATACTAAAGGTACTAAAAAGCAAGACAAATGTAAAAAAAGTATAGTGATTCGCTCATGTAAATCTTAAGAAAACGCCTATTGTTATCAATGCCATAAAGCTAATAAAATGTATGATAGTACTTCTAGTACTATGGTAACCAGTTAATAGGTACCAAATATAGACAAATGGGTACTACTTAGGTACTGTGGTAATGCTATTTTTACGGACCACCGACAGACATAAGTTTATTGTAATAAATTTTGATGGCATCGAGCAACAGCATCATAACAAATGTTATACCTGCCAAATTTCACTTTTTCCTAGGATGAATTTTGCAGATGATAGTGAAATAATAACCGAAATACAAGTATAGACGAAAATATTTTTATATTTCACAAGGTCGAAACTCATTATAGTAAGACTACTATGCATTTGTAAAATTTCTCACTATTTGTATGCAGTGGTGGTCAAAATAATGTATATTTAATATTATTATGCAAAAGCAAATTAATAGAATAACAACAAATTTCGCTACCACTTTGAAGATTTGAATATATATAAAGCGCCACATGTATATAAATAACTTACCGCTTTGTTTGATACCTATAAAAAGAGATACTAAGTGTAGATGCAATGAGTAATTTTATAAACATCAAATAAATATCCTTACGAATCTATTTCTATAAATATTTGCTTGAAGAATATCAACATAATATAATGCGAATGTCTATGTCGTACATTTTCCAAAGATATTGTTAGCAAGTTGAAAACACCCGTTTTTTTTCTTCTATTGTGTATATGATAGAAAATACAGTAATATTTTGAGTTTAACATAAAGGTGTTAAGAAGGGGCATTATCTCTTTTGCAATTCAACCTGCAGGCTATTTTCTCTTGTATTTTAGCCAGATCTTCTTGAGTTTTGTCAGTCGGTTTCAGCTAAGAATACTTTATATACTTACTAGTATTCTTATCTCTAATATTTTATGTGGAATCTGTCCCAAACACTAGCTTAAAATCGAAATTATAATGTACTAAAAGTAGCTGCTTCCAAAAGTTCATACCAATAATCTACGTATAAGATTCATTAATTATCTATAATTAAAAATAAAATAACCAATTATAAAAAAAGGCTAATGTTTTTAAAACTTTAATCATACAAAAATGAATTGAAGTTTAACGTCGCATTGTATCTGAAATGCCGGATATGTATTGCAAAAGTAATAAATATTTCTTTATTCAACTAAAATATTACAGAAAAATAGTTTACCTTGTGGGATGTAGTGAACTAAAGAAACAATCAGTGTATTAAATTTTCAAATTAAAATATTTTTTAATAAATAAGCATACAAATATATTCACAGGATATATTCTGAACCAATTATGCAAAAATAATAGGAATAATGATTTAGGATAAATTTTTTTTTTTTTTAGTTTTTGGAGAAAATTCTAATGCTTAAATACAGTTTTTTGCCTAAAATCTGAAGAGTAAATATTAATTGTATGCTCTGCTAGTGGTAGATTTTAAGAAACCAGTTCCTAATTCGTACCACTTGCTCTTAAAATTGCACCAAGCTGAAAAAATTGAGCAATTATAATGAAGCAAATTAACCGACAGTAAGTAACACGACAAAACATGTTTAGTATTATTATACTTAATTAGGTAAACCATTAAGGAGTTAAACCCATGGATAAATTTGTACAAAATATTCTTGATTCGCACTACTCTCCATTGAATGACACGGAGTAAACTGATTTTTTTAAGGTGGAAAGCTGTATCCAGGACTTATCATAAGTCTAAATAATGTTTAACCCCTTCCTTCTCGCTCCCGTAAAAATGACGGGGTGAGATTTCACCCGCTATTTCTCGCTCCCGTGATATTGATGGGGTGAGATTTCACCCGCTATTTCTCGCTCCCGTGATATTGACGGGCTGGAGTGTTCAGTAGTAACGCGCCGATAAGAATAAAACTAATTTATTTCTTTTTCCCGGAAGACATTTTATTTCTCATTTTACACACCTGATGGCAGTACCCGGATATTTTTAAGGTAGTTGTAGATAGTTAGTCTATTTTGAACTAGTTGCAGCACTAATCAAATACGTAATACAAATACAAAAGCCAAAAAAATACGTACTTCTGTGACCGTTTTCTTGAAAATTAACCGATCATTAAGGGGTTAAGAAACACGATGATTTGTTCAAGAAATTTCAAGCATGAATTTTGCTCAAGAACTTAAACAGAATTAATTATGAAGCAATGAAACAAATATTAGATGTAATATCTGATAGGTAATAGTGATTTGGTTTAGATATGTTTAACTCCACAAAGTAAACACTTAATAATTGTGCCATGTCCTGCATTGAATTAGCCCCACACACAATGCAAAATTCATTCGTCAATTTCGTTTCAGTTATCTTTCTATCCTCGTGTGAATTTAATGCTTTGTTTAGCACAAAACTAACATGTTTCTGTACCTCGCTTTGAGAAACAGTTTTCTTTCATTTCAGTTAAATCTTTATGTCTTTTAGTAGGTTTAGTAGGTAGCTATTTATTCGTAGATTATGGAATTAGGAAAATACAAAGTTCATTCCATTGAAATCTTCAGTAAGGAAGAATGCATTCGATTAATTCGCATCTACAATCAAATAATCTGCTTTTTAAATTTAATTTAACTAAAGAGCTGAAGAATTAATGGAGCACAAAACTCAACAGTACTTTTAAATACCTTGACAGATTTTGTAATTGCCGCTGCCTTCTTACACTCTTAGTCACCCATTTCAAAGATTGGAAACTTGGAATTGTTAAATATTTAACCAGGATCAGTCCACAAAAACTTTTGTTAAAATTTTAGTACAGTTTAAATGGTTTGAAAAATAAACTACCCAGTTGTTGGAAACGATGATTGTGAGAATTAATCATCCCTTATCGCCTCTGCAGAATTTATATATTTTGAATAAATTGAAAAGCCTTACAAGAAAAGTAGAACCAGTTGGATATTTTGAAAAGATCGTTTTCAGGATTCGTTTTTTTTCTCGTTTTTTTTTTTAAATAAAAGAGGAAAGATTGCCTGATGATCTGCTCATATTATTTTGGAGTTTATATATGTGGCCATGCTTGTGATCTTTCAAAACGTTGTCTAATATAGAGGTTAATTTTTTACTTACAATGAAATTGTTTTTTTTTATACTTCGATCATCAACTTTTAGTTCAAAAGAGGACATGATGATGATTTCAAACCCTTTATGATCATAGCACAATAACTTCAATAAATTATTATCTCAGCTTCTGTATTAAATAAATTTCAGATTTATCAGTATAAGATCAGATCAGCATAACCACGAATTACAATGCTTCTCACATGCCTAAACTGTAACAGATACTCATATCTATTGATGACGGATCCTCTGAATTCAGTACTTTAGATGGATGGCTAGTGCTGTTGTAGTTTGAGTTTTCGATGACTCATACAGTTAATGAAATTGCTTTAACTTTAGTTAAATTCTTTATTTTGGTTAAGTATTATTATGTGTGGGTGTGTATATATATTGATAAATATATAGATGAAAAATTTCAAACTACCATCGTAATCATTTAACTTCGCGTAAAGTTTAAGTAGAATTACTTTAAGAAACAGTACATATGTAAAAACCAAATAAACGAAATTTACAAAATATTGCTAGTAAGTATAATTCCCAGACTAAAGATGAAGAAACTAACAATTATACTTACAAAGATTGAAATCTGAAATACCAAGCATCTTAGATTTTGTGATGATAAAAGTTTTAATATAATCTTAAATTTAATTTTTTTAATTTTTAATATTTGGTACTTGCAAATTTGAGTTGAAGTGAAGTGATTTTGCCTAACCATGTGATTTACATCGGATATAATTGGACACCTGTCAGTGACGCTAGGCGTGAGTGTTGAACCTGATTAGCTTCTGAATCAATAAATACCTATAATGACGTCACTTCTAGGTATCCATTTTTTTTTTAGAATAACATAATGAATTGTAAGACTTATCAGAGATTGTATTTGTATACTTTTTGGAAAAGATTAACTCTATTTACAAATTTTAAGTAATTTTGTGTAAAATGAAGTAATTAGTTATTGATTAATTATGAAGTCGTAATCCAACTTAGTTACAATACTTGTTGGCAAATGATAAATATGAGCTGATTCCTAGCCCTATGAGATACTTTGCTTATCACATTTAGTTTAGAGTTTTAAAAAATTTTAATAATAATAATCGGAGCATTTTGTTAAATATTTTTTCAGAATTTAAAAAGAAAAAGTAAAGGGGCGTTAATTTGAAATTTGAGTTTAATTAATCTACTGCAAATATAAGTTAGAATTAATGCATGCATTATTATAAGATTTTTGCTAAACATTTGAAGTAGAAATATAGTGATTTTTGCCCTCTCTTAAAATACCTCTTCGTCATGTTTATTGCATCAGATTGATGGCCATTTCCTCAAACTATAAGAAGCAAATGTTACTATGATATTTATTCTAAGAATGATTTATCGCTTAATGAATCCCCAAAAATTGCATGGTTTCATAAATGTCAGAACCAGCAATTCCACACACCGTGTATGCGTTCACGAGTATATGCACCAAATTCGGAACAAACCTAAATGTCTTTAAAACCTCCGTCAAAATCCTATTCCCGCTCTATATCTCAAAAAGTAAGAGTTTTCTATTGTACTTAACATATATTTTATAATATAAGTGATTTATTACCTTTCAACTCTATTTAATCAAAATTAGTTACACTGGACACTTTTTATCTAATTATTTATCTTTGCGTTTTATTATTATGTATCTAATTATTTATCTTATGTCAAGTGTGTTTTTAAGCTTTAAAATTTTAATTCACTATTTTTTTATTAGTTTATTTATTTTCTGATAAAACCTAACAACAATATTAATGAAAAAATTAGGAAATGGCAACAGATAACGAAAAGTAGAAGTTGTATAGTAAGTTCTAATTCTGGGCAAGATAAGTATCAGATAAAAAATGTTTGTTATTATGTAAAATTTTTACATAAAAAGTGATTATGGGAATGTAATTTCTAATACTTTAGTTTCTATAAATAACGTAATACAATTGATACTCTCAATTTGCAATTTCGACAGGTTCTTTCCGTTTCCGTACAAATGCACACTATACACAAGATCCATGTTAAGTACTCTTATTAGTATATTGGCTAGTTCATACGAAAACTGATAAGTGTTTACCTAGTGCTGTAGACATCTCTATAAAATTAAAATTAAGTAAATTAAATAATAAGTATTAAATAAAAGTTGTTTAAAAAGTGATAAAAAAATTAAAAGTAAGAAATTATTATTTACCCGGTGCTGTGAAAGAAAAAAAGAAGGTTAAAAATTGTTCGGAGAATTATCATGACAAAAAATTAGACATGGGTATTTAATATTTGCTTGGTGTTGTAGATATCTCTATAAATTTAAATAAAAATGAATTAAATATAGTTAAAAAGTGACCACAAAAAATTTAATCGAGTGGTGTTGTTATAATATACCTGGTGTAGTAGTCATTTCTGCGAAGGGAAAATAAAGTGAATTTAATTTGAAGCAAAAAGATTTCTGAGAAACAATAGATTTATGAGCGACTAGTTTTTACCTGGTGATGTGGACTTCCCTATGAAATGAAAAGAAAGTCACTTAAATTTGCATAAAATGTGATAATAGAAATTATGGAAGAAGGTGATTATTTTTACCTGATTTTGTAGACATGTCTTAAAAATGTTATTTTTTATTATTTTTTTATGTTATTTCAATCTTAGATCAACCAGACAAAATTGTCCATAGTAGGAGCAACACTTTATTTACCAAGAATATACCCATTTATATCTATCAAAAATAATGGTTAAATGATCACTTAAAATAATAATAAAGTATGCAAACGCTTTACCAGTTTTACTTAAAATACTTTGTCAGTATTTAATTATTTAATTTGAGCTTTGCTTAAATATTCATCCTGTTAATTTAGTGACCTAAAAAGTGATCTACAATGTTTTCAAACTTAGTTTTTCTTAAGTGTAAAATATTTCTGTATAACAAAATAACACGGTCTCAATATTGATTCCTCCAGTGTTAATTGGCATAAAATATCACCATTAAAATATTCAATGCCTTTTTGCATAGGAAATGCCATTATAGAGGCTAATTATAAAAGGTAATTATATAGGTCAAATTTGCAATTGTAAAAGGCGAAAAAAAACAATTGTCCAAGCTATGTTATTTTGAAGATTATAACAAATACCTTGATGATTGATACCTTCCTTTAATATTTACGTATAAAGAACTAAAAACAAAAATAACACCTATTCAACAAAACGAAATCAAGTGCTTTAATGATGAAATCATTTTTAATGTATGCGATTATTTAATTTTGTTTATAAGACAAAAACAGCCATTTTTATCTTTTAGAAAGAATTTTTAATACTCTAGAAAATAAAAAACAAATACATTAATCTTAAAACATTTTGCAGTAATATTCTACTTTTAAGCATTTTACTTAATTAAAACAGAAAAATGACCATAACTCAAAAATTTACAGCTAGAATTAAATGAAACTGGCACACAATATAATGTCTAAAAGACATAAAAAGTATTAACCAAACCATTATGGTGCTACAAAATTCAGCATATGTATGAAATGAATAAATCATATTTGTCAGTTTGGTATAGTAAAAATACCTTCGGTATGGAGTATGCCCACCATTAGGAATTATACAGCAATGTGTGATGCTTTCAAATTTGCGATCTACCAGTTCCATACGAATTGTGAGTCATTATTGTTGCAAAGTAGTTGCAAGTCTTGCAAGGGTCTGCAGATAAAGATTGAGAGCAGCTACATTTCTTCCTAAAACATTCAAAACATGCACGATAGGATTCATGTCCGGTGATCCAGCTGGCACTCCATGCGCTGAATTGTTTGCTGCTGAAGACAATCATCCACGATTCAATCCTCTGCAGAGTTCTGTAAACGTACTTTATCATGAAATCATTACATGTTGCACCAGTATAAGGGCGCACAAGAACATATAATACATTATCTTTATACACGTGAGAATTCAGGGTTGCTCGTGAAAAGCCTCTACGTCCACCCAAAGAGATACCACCACCCATGGACACTTCTTCCTTGGTATGCATCTGTTTAATGCGTGTTTGTGGATGACCCATTATGCAGATAGTTCCCGGTTCGCTCCAAATCAAACAACGTATATTAACAGTTCGGAGGGCAAACCAATATTCATCAGGTTGGTGAACAAACCTCGTTTTTGAGACCTTCTTTGTGCAGTAGAGGTTGACGCCAATCTTCTGGTAACTTCACAAAAAGAGGATCTGAGCTGACACTGAGTTCCGATTCCTTTCATTCATGCACATAGCAATAAATATCGGTAATCGGCACTTGTTATATCATTTGGTCGTCCTTGGCTGAACTTTCTGGATGCCGAACCAGTAGTTAGAACTTATTTCAAAAATCTATGAAAAGCAGAAGCTTGTTATGAACCACATTTAGTCCTCTTGCATCTTCTATCTGTCTTGGTACTGCCTCTTATCTTCCAATACACCTTACCGTTGTTCTTCTGGCGAACGATGTTTGAAGGTCATATTTGCAATTCGCCTACCTCAAAATTTTTATTTTAGAAACGCAGCGAAATTCGCAAGCATGCAATCAAACATACAATTTTATGCGTATAGCAAATGTTGCCATTCCATTGCGGCCCTACTAATTTGCATATTGCAGTTTTGCTTAGCAACTGTTATTCGGTAGCATTTTCAATATTCATTGGAATTGGCTTTTTTTTAAGAGAGTTATCGCTATATTTGTAATTTTTTTTTGATAACCAATGAAGCTATTATAAAACTCGAAAAATGCTTTGGGAAATCGAATACAAACAGTTTTTTTTAATATAAGTAATAGCATGTGAACATCTTAAAGCAGCTGATTTTTTTTGAGAAAAAAATACCTGTACATGACGAGAATGCCAAAAAATGCGCTTTGGTAATGATTTTTTCTAATAATGTTTTTAACGTATTAGGAAATGCTTTAATTCTAATCAAGTATTTAGTTCATAATGAGGTATTGCTTACCAGTAATTTTGGTCTTCAAAATTACAGTTCTTACAAAGACATATTAAGTGAAAATAATAAACTACATTTATTACCAAACGACATGGTAATAAAACCATATTTTACAGTTAATGAAACTAAAAGTCATTATCAAAGTGCTTCGATAAAAATTACGTTGTTATTTCGTGTTCCAATATCACCAGAAATAAGGTTACATTTTACCACTTTCTGGTACTTATTTCCATACTTAGTTTGTCACTTTATTTAGAGTGAGGAGTTCTATACCAAGTACGAAAACATCCGTACAACAAAATATAACAAAAAATATATTTAAAAACTATGAAATCCTGCTTTTGCTGTATTGCGAACTTAGTGGAAAAATCAAACTCTTATAATCTATTAACTAGAACAGCAACTTAGAGATTTATTGTTATATTGAAATTAGGGGGAATTCCAGTTTAGGCGCTATATTGTTATATACTTATAATGCATTATAGACATAGTCCATATTATTTCCTCAAATTTCTCAGATACACTTAAATTATCATTCACTCGAACAAGTCTACACGCTCGTTTTACAAATTTAATCAAAATAGCGGATGTAAAATTAAGTCCTCTAACATTAAATGAGCTTCGTGCCATTTTACAGAATATTTTAAGCAATGTAACAAAACAGAACTAAGTGTTATAAAATAGTTTAACAATTGTGCATGAATTAGAGAATTAATGAGAAAAATAGTTGTCTAAATAATTATTGGATAATTCGTTACAAATTACTAATCTAAACTTGTGACATTTTATTCAATATCTGAATTATAAATGAAATTTAAATATCATACAATTTGTCATTAAGGTCATTAAAGCTGAATATTAAATATACGAAATTTATCTAAAAAATAGCTTAGCTAGTAAAAGTAGGAAACTAAACTTTGGTTTGAATTTGAAACTTCTTTTATTTATAAATTTTCGTGAATAACATAGATTTGCGAAATTTATTTTAGGCAATATAATGACTGATAATTAGTTACATAATTTTGCGAGATTATTTCAATTATTACGTATCAATTAATAATTTTACAGTAGCAATAAAAAAAGAAAGAAATGCATAGTTTTTATATTTTGGAGGGAAAAAAACTTAAGCCATTGATGATAGTTAAGTTATATTTTCCGATGCATATTTTACTCTGAATTACATGATATCAAATGTATCAGATGTAGATTATGTATCAGATGTAGATTTCTATTTACACCTATTCACACCTCTATCTAGGCAAATAATGACATCGATTTTATACATTTTTTGCTCTGAATTGAAACTTTTTTAAAAGAATGTTATGAGAGTGATAATTTGAAGGTTATACAATTTTAATTTATATTATGGGCATTTTTGAACTTATGCCGCTTTGCTGACAAATGATGTATTGAATTCAAGGTAATATTGTGCTTTAAATTGAATGCAATAGAAATAAAGTCAATAGTATTAATAGTTTTAATGTTGCGATAGTAATTTCACTTTCACAACTTTCAAATTATTAATTCAGTAATTACTAATATTACTTTAATCTTAATTACTAAGTAAAATTTTTCATTTATGTATATTTAAATGTTTGTCATTGGCATAGTTGGCATTGTTTCTTCTGTAACTTTTGGATCGGTTTTGGTTTTATTGAATTTTTTTTCGTAAAATTCATTAGAATCAAAACTTATGTTATCTAACTAAACAGTAATGAGCATGCATACATAAAATTTGTAAATTATGGCTTATACCCATTTACACATACAGATTAACTATTTATTCAATTGACTTGCGATTGTTGTTTGTTAAATTTAACGAGATAAAATACAATATAAGGCATTCGTCAAATTTTGAGATAGATTTATTTAAGTTTTTCTCCTCCTTTAAAGCCATTTCGCAAAAAAAAAATAATCAAATAATTTTTTTTACGTTATTGCTTAAAAACTTCTTTCATTTATTTTATTTTCAAAGTAGCCTAAGTACCCTTAGTTTTATCCAATATTGAAAACTCTTAACGTTATATGCTTATTTATCTGCTTAGAAAGTTAAAAATAAAGATATGGTTGGCTACATATAGCAAATGTTTCCCGTAAACAACATCCAAAAATCTATCAGTATGAGTTAATGTTTTTTAAAAACTTTTTTTAATAACCAAAAATGGCTCCCTACTTCTCCTGTAGATAACATCAAAAAATTATCAGAATCAGCTATTGGTTTTAAAGCACTTTTTTAATAGCAGAGAAATATGTTTCCTACTTCTTAAGTAAACAGCATCCAAAAATCTATTAAAATTACCTATTGGTTTCTATACACTTTTCTTAACAGCAGAAAAGGTCTCACTACTTATCAGGTAAACATACAAAAATCTATTAGATAATCAGTTATAGATTTTTAGCCTATTTAATAGCAGAAAATGGCCTACTTTTATCTTAAACATTATCCGGAATACTATCGGTATTGGATTCTAAACACTCTTTTAAAGCAGATTTGAGCAATTGACTTTAAAATGAAATTATAACTCTCTGTCGTTAACGCTGATAGTTAAGTATTTTCTTAAAACTGAATGCAAGTATGGATCATGAGATATTGTCGGACTATAAGGAAGTGCTACATACCATTTCTTAAAGTTATGCTTTATTTCTGCTAAGCAAGTAATTTAACCAGGAATGTGGAAAACAACAGCATAGGAAATAAGTTATTTCCAGAAAAATATTTAATAGAGTAAACAAACAACAAGCATAAAACTTATAGTAATATTTTACTAATTATCCAAACTCCATGTGTTTTTGACATTAATATCATTTTTATAAGTTACGTTATATATTTTTATGAGTTTTTATAAGTTTTAAAAAATAGATTTTCATAGAAGTTTCATGCTCTTTCATTAAATGTAAGTGCAATTGTAACAAAAATGTTACAGAAATTTCCATATCTATATAACATTATAGTAATAAATAGGTAAAAATGTATTTTAAAGCATCATAAAAAGCATTGCACTATAAAATATCATATGCAAATGCAAATATCAATTTAAGATCTATTTTATGATTTAGTAAAAAGCAAAACATTCCCATAACATCCGTATTGTACGTCAAGGAGTCATGGAGGTTAAGACTCCATAATTTCGTGGAGAACAGCAAGATTGTGGTAGTGTGGTCAGCACTGCACACAATCAGTTCTCGCTTCCCTGACAGTTTTTACTTCCCAGACAAGCTGATACCTATCGATCTTAAGATAGGTGGGCTTCAAACTAAAATGTGAGAGATTGCCAAGATAAGAAAAAATTACAATTTAATGTTCGGTACGATACTTACCAGGAATTGTTGTCGCATCTTTTTTTTTACATATCTTTTGCAAATCGATTATTATAATTGTATATAATACACTGAAGAGCCAAAAGAAACTGGTACACCTGTCTAATATCGTGTAGGGCCCCCTCGAGCACGCAGAAATACCGCAACGCGACGCGGCATGGATTCGATCAATGTGTGAAGCAGTGCTGGAATAATTGACACCATGAATCCTGCAGGGCTGTCCGTAAACCAGTGGGAGTAAGAGGGGGGGTGGATATCTTCTGAACATCACGTTGCAAGGGAATCCAAATATGATCAAAAATGTTCATGTCTGGGAGTGGATCCAAGAGCACTCTTCTGACTTTAGACCACCAAAATTCCCAGACATGAACATTATTGAACATATTTGGGATGCCTTACAACGTAATGTTCAGAAGATATCCCCACCCCTTCTTACTCCCACTGTTTTATGGACAGCCCTGCAGGATTCATGGTGTCAATTATCTCCAGTACTACTTTAAACATTGATCGAATCCATGCCACGTCGTGTTGCGGCACTTCTGCGTGCTCGAGGGGACCCTACACGATATTAGTCAGGTATACCAGTTTTTTTGGCTCTTCAGTGTATAATAACCTGATAAAACTCTTTCTCAAACTTTTAGTGTAAATATAAATATTACTGAAAATTGGTATTAACAATGCTTAGTTTAAAAATGTCTAGAAAACTATATGAAATAAGATTTAAGTCTCGATAGATAGTTTAGTAGGTTAAAGGGTTTAGTCAGAGTGTCCTGTCCTGTTTAGTCAGAGATTCCTCAACTCATCAGCTTTATGTTATGTCTTACGACAAAATATAAGACATTTTATTCGTACTCAGGAAGAGGTTTTCGTTATTTAAGAATCGTACCTGTGACAGTGTAAACAAACTCACTAAGGAACAAAATTAATTATCAATTTATTTTTAAAGTTTAGTTATGAACATGCTGACCGGCCGGTGTAAGGGGCAGGGAACTGTCCTTGCATCAGAAAGGTTCTGGGTTCGAATCCCGGGCAAGGCATGGATGTTTCTTTCTTTCTATCTGTGTTCTATGTCCTTTCTCCTTTGTGTGTGAATGTGACCCGCCCTATAAACGGGTTGTGGTAGTGTGACGTGGGCAACGCTGCTCCACCGACGTGGCTTCGCCACAGGTGCCCACTGGGTAACGAAAAGAGCGTTAGCAGTTCTGGCACTTTCTGTGGCCAATGGACAATAGTTCCAAGTGCCCGCCATTAAAAAATAAAAAAGTTATGAACATTTATGAATTTTAAAATTTCGATACGGAGGTAATGCAAAGTTTTGTTTTTGATGCTTACGAATAAAGGTAGATAATTCACGAAGATTGGGGATACTATTTTGAAAATATGAAAAAATATTTTTTCATTCTTTCGATTTTTGTATGTTTTTTGCCTCTGTGTGCAATGGACCGGACTCTACATGTTATGGGTTTTTTATTCTTTTACTATTTTTCTATAAATTTAAAAATATTAGTAACCACTGCACTAGGGTCTTGAATTTTGTAAATAAGTCATTGTTTATTGTTATTATTAACTCAGAATATTTGTTTACAATTTTGTAATGCGAGGAAAAATATTTTATTTTTAAGGTAATATCTGCTCTATTAGGAAAGATTACTGAGATAAAGGCGATAATTGATCATTCAAACTTTGCCGTACAATTCTAATAATAAATCAAGCGTATTTTGCAATTTTGTTCCAAAGTCTTGCAAATAGCCATAAATAAAACACCATTTCTTTATTCTCTCATTGTAATATTTCTATAGAGCAATGGAACAAAATATTCTCTTAGAATTTATGCCAGATTTTTCAAACATCTAAAAACAATTCTAGAAATCGTTTTTCCTAAACTTATTGTCAATTTACTCATTGACTTATCTTCTATTTTGAAAAAAACTGATAGTCATATTTATGTCCTAATTCTTAACCAAGAGAACTTTTCAAAAGTCTTAATATTTCCGTTTATATCATTATCAAGTATTATAATTATAACTTTCTCATGGATCCTGAATCATCGTCTTTAGATAATTCTTATTATAAATCACTCAGGATATTGGGATGATTGAGGTGGTTTATTTATATAAAAGACAAAACTCTAAATTTTAATTTTAGGTTTTATGGTTACTATTAATTACTTACCAATAAAATCTAGAAGCAAGCGCATTATCATCAGTAAAAAACTTTCATACAGCAATAAATGTCATAAAAAGTAATATCTTATTTGAAAATTAAGTAAGTTTCAGAAACATATCTAAGATATTATATTTGAAACAATTTCTTACCTTTATAGAAATCTATTAAAAAAAGGAAGAAAAGTGTTTAATTAATGTTTTGGCTAGTTTCTTCAATTGTCATAAAGAAATGTGTTGAGAACTTTTTACTTAACATTCTGATTAAACCAATATATAATGTTTATGACCCATGAATTTGCAAAAATTATATTATTTTAAAAAGCATTAAAAAAAACTAAACATATTTTTACTCTCCTTGCTGCATTTGTTTGTGATCTCTCCCAAACAAATAAGTCTTGAATGGATTTCCATGATTTTTCTCACCATTTATTCTTTCTTTTAAATATTTGCTTTAGAATTATCTCTCTTCAAAATATTCAAATCGATCGTAATTTGTATGAATTCTGTATCATCAATTAAGATTTTTAAAATCGTTTTATTAAAAGGGTATAGAAATATTATTAAAGAAATAAAGATTAAAGAAATCAAGTCCAAAAAAATTCATTTGAAATTACAGTGATCTCTCACTTATGCACCACCTCTTTTATGCACCTTTTTCATTTATACGACGATTTTTATAGGTCTCAGCACATTGGATAGGAAAATAATGATAAACATCCTTCGTTTATGCGTCGCTCTAAAAATAAATTTTTCACTTATGCGCCGAAATTTTAGGCTAGCACTTTAATTTTTTAATCCTTTAAATACTTTTTCTTTAAAAAATGTTTTAAATTAAAAATGAAGCAACTGAGAAATCCTTGTTACAGATAAAAAGAAATATATGTTGTTAGATCCTATTGAATTTGCTTCCCCCTGTGACCTTTTCATTTTTGCTGTTTCTGGAAAGGCATTTTTTCTAAAATTTTGAATAGGGAGTCTTATCTGTTACACCAACAACAATGAAAGCCCATTCATCTTGTCCAAAGGTTAGTTTTACTCCCATGCTGTTTTCTAGAAAAAGAAGACACCTGGAATACTAAAGATGAAAGAGACCGCGATCACTTATTTGCAGTCAGATGGACATTATGAGTACATAAAAGGAGGTGATCTGTTTAGTGAGGGAAATACTTGAACAACTTATTGTGCAGCATATTGTGACGTCAAGTACTTTTCTTAGAAATTTATCATGTGCTGTTTCACCCCCTCCCATAAAACTCAAATTTCTTGTGAAGAACTGTTCATTTATATCTAACTAAAACTTGTGAATGATGAGAACGTGGTGGATGATACTGACGAGATGATTAAGTTCTTCCAAATCACACAGCAGTATTGAAAGCTTTAGACACTATTCCTGATTATTTACAATTTAATTTTGCTTCTGAAACTTATATGAACTGGAAAAAACTGTTTTTGAATAACGTCGGCAAAAACAAATACAAACATGTATTAAGATTATTTTGTATGAAAATAGATTGTCTTAAGGTATGTTAAATTTTTTCGTTGTATAATTATAGTAAATACCAAAACAGAATAAATATTAACATTAAATCTTTAGAAACATATTTATTCATATTGTCACTTCAATTTACGTTGCGTTTTAGAATTTTGAAGTTTTTCATTTATGTGTCTCTTTCACTTATACGCCTTTTTCTCTTGGCCCCTTACACCGGTGCACAAGTGAGAGTTCACTGTAAACTCATAATTACAAGTTTTGATTTATTATATAAGTATTTGTGAAATTTAAAAACAAAATCGTATTCATACCGATACCAATATCTATAAAATGAAGGAAAACATTAATATAGTGGAATGCAGTTAAATAAAAGAAAACATCAAATTAAAGGAAAGAAAACATAAAATAGAAAATTTTTTAAATTAATAATCCTACATAGTGACATTTTATCATCTTCTTAATGCTAAACTATGTTGAAATTTAGTTATGTATAACATTACCACTTCTTCATTAAAAGTTCACCATACTTATATTTTCTTGTAAATTGTAATATTTAATTTCTACGTCATTGTTATTTTTTTATTAGCTCTTGCTTGAAAAGCTTTTTCTATTAATTTCTGAATCAAAGAAATGCTAAAAAATAAGGATGGTTGAAAAAAAAGAGCATGAAAACAATAGTAAATATGTCATATGACAAAGAATTTTTTTTTTGTCATATCAAATTTCCTTCGGGATATCTTTATTATTCGTGTATTTTTGGGGAAAATGAAATTAAAAGAAAGATTTTATTATGATTAATGTAGTTGAGCATGAAAATTTTCTTTTTAAATAAAATCGCATTTTTCAGTGTGTAATAATGCTAAAAACAACTATAATAGTGTTAATACCATTGAATTTTTTTAATAAAAAATTATTTTTCGTGTTAATCAGTAAGTAATTCATTACACTTCTGCAAATATTTTTAAAAATGACGGTCAAGAATAGGTGCTTAAAATTAAAAAAAATACATTTTAGTATGTAATAATAAATACACTCGCAAAAATTTTAAAAACATTTGCATCATGAAAGTTATGCTTTGTAATAAATATTTTCTACTCTTAAAAAAGTAACTTTACACTTTGATTTTAAGTTATAATTCCTTTTGAAAATTGCAATCAGAGACAAATTATACTTTGCTGAAAAGAAGTTGTTTTATTAAGCAATGATGCATTGGTTTCATAAGAAAATATTTAAAGCATTTTTACTATGGATGAGTAACTACTCGTGCTCATTTTTAAATAGGTCTCTAGCACTTAGTTTTAAAAATTTAAATCTTTATTAAACAAACCAAAAGGATTTTAACTAATTTAATTAGTATTGTACAAAGACATATTATAGTAATTACAAAGGCATCGAAAAGCGAGATAATCTAGATATTTCATGACATATATTTAACAATGATAAGAAAAAAATATTTTTCCACACAGTCAGAAAAAGTATGTCTAAAATTATCGGAATATAGTAAAATTTACCATGTTTCTGACTCAATAGGAACATCAGAATCTTTATATTTTTTACCGAAGAACTTTGGTAAAGAATCTGGTAGAACTAAAAATAAAATAAGGCTTTTTCTATTATATAAATGGTATTTTTACCATATGTTTGGTGGTAAGTGATTTAATATTTGATAATATTTGGTAAACATGATACCTTTAGAGCATGGCATAAAAAACATTTTTTCGTTAAAATATACTTTACAGTTTAATAATTATTACTAAATGTGTGACAATTTGTCTCGTTTGGTGCCGTCTGTTGAAAGAGTAGCAAAAGTCATTGAATACGAATTAAATTGAATGATTCTGATTTCCTTTTTTTATTTCAAGAAACTGAAAGAAGACACAGACTTGAAAATAAACATATTAAACTATTCAAGTTATTACTTTCCAATTTGAATGTACTTTTACTGTGATAAATTGTTGGCTCTAAGGAAGATCTAGAACTATCAGAATTTTCGGTAAACAGTTGCCATGAGAGGGAAAAAATGCAAAATAAATGGCTCAAGTACTGTACATTATTTAATTAACTGGAATTATGGTTTGATTTTTACCAGAAATGCCATTACCGAACAAACTGTAATTTTACCAGAATTTCTTCTGTGTGTATAGTAAGAGTTGATGGGATTCTGCTCATATGTTTCACTGTCTATATTACCAAAATTTTATTTATAACATGTTTAGAGAATAAAAAAGTCTGATTAGTAGCTAACTTTTTAAGGAATTTAAATAGTTCTATCGTAGAGCGCTTAATTTTTATTTTATCCTCCTACTTGTAATCGTTCATTGAAAAAAAAGCAAAAAAAACGTTCATGGTCAAATTGAGGTATTTAAATCTAAACACTTTTAGAACCGTTTTTAATTCTATCGCGAACATTAACTGTCAAATGTGAAGTCGAGATATTTTTTCAACGATTAAATTGTAGTTAAGTTTTCTATGCACGTTTCTACCTAACAAAAATCGTGCAATGTGAATAGTCATAGTATATATATATATATATATATATAAATAAANATATATAACATTGTCAGTGTCGCTTGAGATTTTTTTGTAAAATCTTTCATTTAAATAGCATTTTTGATTTTATTTATTTTATAGACAACCTGATAAACATATAATTTCTATTAAAGGACTCTTAAAACTCTTATTTGAAAATTATAATTCTTGTTTAATAATTATCTTACTCAAAATTATTTAAAAATTATAGTTCTTATTACGAAACAGTTTGTATAAATTGCAAAACTAGAAATTTAATTCAAACGACTAAATGGTCTTTATGACGTGCTGTAAGATATCGTGATAAAACTACCAAACTATACCTCATTTAACAAATTAAAGCATATATTATGAAAAACATTTATCTTAAAATTTACCAAAATCATTACCACAATCCTTCCATAAAAAATAATTGAGCTTTTTCGTATTGCCATTGAGCCAGAAATATGACAAATCTTAAAATATTTTGGTAGTATTAGGAATACTTTTTCGTCATTGTATCCTTAAAAATTTTTTCATCAATTTTTAAATCTTGTGTTCTTGTTCTCTCTTCCGATATTGATATAATCATCAGATGTACAAATGTATACCCGTATAAATTCAAATTAACAAAGTACTGAAATAAATTCCTTACATTAGAGCAACGCTTCTGATTTAACAATTATATTTTCAGATAAATTATTTCATTATTTATGTTGTATACGTTAATTCCGCATGAGGTAAAAGTAGCATTAACATTAAATAAATTTTTGTAAATCTAATTATAGTTTGTGTGTGTTGTCCTCGTTCCTAGGTTTACATAAATTACGCTTATTTTATAGAAATTGTTTCGAACTTTTCCTGACAAATGTTTTTCACATAGAAACTTTGGTTTAAACTTTGGATTTCAAAAGGCAAAAACTATAGTTATTTAAAATAAAATAATGATAGTGTTTCACACTATTTTCTAAATTGTTTTAATTCATTTCGACAAATGAAGTATTTTTATTTTTTTAATTTTTAAAATAAAAATATTTTTGTTTCTTACCTTCAATGTAGGCTGAAAAAAACGAAAAATCATAATATGAAGATTATTAATCAGTCATTATTTATTACTTTAAAACTATTATGGGCAGAACTTTCTTTTCATTTTGTAAATATGCAAAACAACGCAGTTAAAATTTGAATTATACGAAAGCTAATTTGAATGTAGCACTTTTTGGAACATAATGAAATATTTTCTTATTATTAAAGAAATTGCATTTATTTGTTACATTACATAAAGCATAGCCATTCAAAAACGATTATTAACGGAAGGGACATCTTCTAAATATCTTCCAATCTTATTTGTTTATATTTTGGTTGTGAAACCATGTAACCATACAAGATACACCCATTACCACGCAGCATAGATACAACATAAATGTTCCATGCATAAATGTTCCATGAATGTTCCATGCATCAAGTGTTAAACGCTCTCGTTAAAAGAAAGAAAAAAATAATCGAAATATTACGGCATTTTTAAAGTTAGTTTAACCAATAATGCTATATTTATCTTCGAATGTTTACTGCGCTATTTCGGTTTAAGCTTCAAAAATAAATTTTGTGTGTTTAGTCAATTATTTACGGTTAATAAGAAGGATAGGTCAAGAACCACATTTAATTTAATATATAAAAGACACAATTTATTTTATTATTTAAGAACATTATGCCGAAAACAGACATTAATTAAAGAAAGATAGTTTAGTTTTTGTTATCAGCTATTGAAAAAATTTAATTTAAAAGAATATATTTTTGAAATACGTAATTTTTTGAAAAATTTATTCTTTTGAAAAATAAATTTAAAAAAAATATTTTCTTGAAAAATTTATTTTTTTGAAAATTGTTATGTTTTTAACGTAGTATAAGCTGTTTAGCGTCTGATCAGTATTTTAATCGAAAACTTTTCGTTATTTCACTACAGTACTCTCATTTATCAAAAACTACGAAACTTATTTTTCTGGAATTTCTTTAACAATCTCAACAAAAGCATAAGACATAGAAATGAGTTTTTAAAATATATCTGGGGTACAATTACATGAATGACTATTTTTTGTAATTAAATTAATTTTTAAAATATCTAAAAAATAAAGATTCTTACTTCCAATATCTTTAGCTGAAAAAGCAAAATTATTTTTTAACTAAATGTATTAATAGCTCCTGAACCATTTATGTTGCGATTCCGAAATTTAATCATCGACAAGAAGGAGAAAATTTTGCTTCAACTTTTAATCGTTAGAATTCCAGTTACACTGCAAAAAATTCGGAATTGAAATATGATAAAAAGTACCGGCACTCGGTAATTATCGGTATTTTTTGCCGTAAATCTATTTTTACAGGAACATACTATGAACAAAATATCTGATATACTGTAATTTGTGCAGTAATAATTACTGTAAGTGATCTGAATAACTCTAATTAAATAAATATTACGGTTAAAAATTCTAATATTTTACGGTAAAATGAATTTTACCGTTGCTGCACCCGAAGTGCCGCTACTTTGTACAGTAATTTGATCTGGAAGTTTTTGCAGAATAGTACTTACTAATGAAGAGATAATTAAGAAATACTGTTTCGCATATGTTCAGAATTAGCTATTGTTCTACATTAAGCTGTAGACGATTCAGTTCTAGATTTAGCAAACGTTATTTAATGTTTAATAATTCTTTTACCAGTTTAGTGTTCAACGTAGAAGATTTTAACACCGAATTATTATTAAAATTATCTGAAATTCCATATTGTTATTGATGCCCCCATGAAGCTGAAAAATATTATAATAATGCTTCTGGTACTTTGTTAACCATCTACTAGGTACCAAATGTAGACATATACATACTACTGTAGGTACTGTGTTAACACTGTTCATGCGGACCACCCAAAGCTATAAGTTTTCTTAAATAAATTTTAATGACATCGAGCAACAGCATCATACCAAATGATATGCCTGCCAAATTTCACTTTTTCCTAGGATGAATTTCTCAGATGATAGTGAAATAATAACCAAAATACAAGCAGAGACAAAAATATTTTTATATTTTGCAAGGTCTACACTCTTTATTGTAAGACTACTATGCATTTGTATGTTTTCTTAGTATTTGCACGCAGCGGTCGTTAAAATAATTTCTGGTTAATATTATTATACAAAAACAAATTAATAGAATAAAACAAATTTTGCTAGCACTTTAAAAGTTTGAAAAAAAATTATTAAGTAATATATATATATACTCTTATTTG